AAATTCTGCAAGAGTGTAGTCAATGCATTGGGAGACAGACTATGTCTGGAGCCACTGATTCAGGAAGCATGGCCAAGGCTGATTGCTTTTCACCCTCTCAAGTTTAAATTATGACCAGAATTCTTGTTTCGGTTTGATTTTTGGTTTGGTTTTTGTTGTTTTACACTTTGCGTTAAGTTGCTCTTGAAAAAAACAGTAGCTTTTATTTCTTTGCCTGTGTCTATGTCCTTTTGCAATATGATTGTTCATGTTTCATCAAGAGGTGAAATTTATTTCCCTAATCTTTGGATCTGCCTTTGTGATATGAGCGTGACAGAGGGGTGGTGTGCCAGCCCCAAGTCTAGCACCCATCTGCTTCGCTCCCCGTACAGACACTCCTGGAACAAACCTGCACTCACCACTCACCTGACAAAGATGAGAGGCTGTGTGGATGAGAGCTTCCTCCTATACCGTTTACTCTCTGGGTGATCCGCATGCCCGAGCCTAGCCCAGGCTGGAAGAACAACACAGAGAGGTGAAATCATTTGACTGAGGTCAACCTACTAATGGCAGAAAGCAAAGAGAAGCTGAAGAGCCTCTTGATGACAGTGAAAGAGGAGAGTGAAAAAGCTGGCTTAAAACTCAACATTCAAAAAACTAACATCATGGCATCTGGCCACATCCCTTCATGGCAAAGAGATGGGGAAACATTGGAAACAGCGACAGACTTCATTTTCTTGGGCTCCAAAATCACTGCAGACGGTGACTGCAGACATGAAATCAAAAGACGCTTGCTCCTTGAAAGAAAAGCTATGAGCAACCTAGACAGCATGTTAAAAAGCAGAGACATTACTTTGCTGACAAAGTTCCATCTAGTCATTGCTATGGTTTTTCCAGTGGTCATGTATGGATGTGAGAGTTGGACTATAAAGAAAGCTGAGTACTGAAGAACTGATGCTTTTGAACTGTGGTGTTGGAAAAGACTCTTGAGAGTCCCTTGGACTGCAAAGAGATCCAACCAGTTCATGCTAAAGGAGATCAGTCTTGGGTGTTCGTTGGAAGGACTGATGTTGAAGCTGAAACTCCAATACTTTGACCACCTGATGCGAAGAGCTAACTCATTTGAAAAGACCCTGATGCTGGGAAAGATTGAAGGCGGGAGAAGAAGGAGACGACAGAGGATGAGACAGTTGCATGGCATCACGGACTCAATGGACATGAGTTTGGGTGGACTCCGGGAGTTGGTTATGTACAGGGAGGCCTGGTGTGCTGCAGTCCATGGGTTCACAAAGAGTCAGATGTGACTGAGCAACTGAACTGAGCTGAACTGAACAAGGTCCCTGAATAACTTGGTTATAAGTGCATTTCCTAAGAAATTTTGACATCATGGTGCTTTGAGTATATCATAATGACATAATCTGAGTTTTTATTAAAGTCAATAGTAATTTTACGGTAAAAATCGTTCAAACTGCACACTTTAACATCGCATGTCAACAGTACCTTGATAAATCTGTTGGAAACTTCTCAAGCAGTACACATTACTTATTTTAATTCTAAGTTTTTTGACTGTAAAGCATGTGGGATCTTAGTTTCCTAACCAGGGATCCAACCCATGCCCTCTGTATTGGAAGTGCAAAGTCTTGACCTCTAGACTGCTAGGGAAGTCCCTTCAAAATCACTTTTAAAGGTCAAATTTAAAACCTGTTTTCTTGTGCACTTGGGAAAACTGTAAAATAAGTAACATGAAATTTTACATTGTAAGGCTGGACAGTAAAAGGGTTTTCTAAAAGCTTGAGTGGGAAATGGAGAGAAGACAAACTCAGAAATGAAAAAATATGGAATTGACTGAATTAACATGCACTTTTATGGTACATCTCTGTTAGATGACAGGATAAATGTCAGTAATATAGAATTACCAGCCAGCCAGAGTTTTCTTAATTTGACAAAGCTTAGAGCTTTCAACCGCATAATGAAAACAAAATTTAGACAAATTAGGAATTTCCTAAGCTTTCAGCAAAGCCATGGAGTTGACTATCACGAGGCCCTCTCTGTCACCCAGTTGTGGGGATGTCAGCTGCAATGGCTCACTGCTGGCTGTTGCGTGTTGAACAAAATTTCAGCAAAATTCGTATGTTGAAGTCCTGTCCACTCATGACCTCCGAATGCGATCTTATTTGGAAAGAGGGACGTCACAGATGTAATCAGTTAAAGTGAGGTCATTAAGGCAAGCCCTGCAGGCGAACTGCACACAGCAAAACAAGTCTGGGACACAAAGCACATATCCTACAGCTCACTTCAATTCTGACGCTCTCCACCCGCAAGTGGCGTCAGGCCCTACAGGTTAAGGGCTCAGTCCTACAAGACTCTCCTCCCTACCCACTTCAGACGCCAAGCACAAGTCCAGGCCGCCCTGCCAGCTTCCGGCCAACTTAGACTGGGGGCTCCGAGGACACCAGCCTTCAGTCCAATTCAGTTCAGTCGCTCAGTCATGTCTGACTCTTTGCAGCCCCATGGACTACAGTACATAAAGGCTCCCTGTCCATCACCAGCTCTCGGAGTTTACTCAAACTCACGTTCATTGAGTCAGTGATGCCACCCAACCATCTCATCCTCTGTCATCCCCTTCTCCTCCCACTTTCAATCTTTCCCAGCTTTACGGTCTTTTCAAATGAATCAGTTCTTCACATCAGGTGGCCAAAGGATTGGAGTTTCAGCATCAGTCCTTCCAATGAATATTCAGGACTGATTTCCTTTAGGATGGACTGGTTGGATCTCCTTGCAGTCCAAGGGACTCTCAAGAGTCTTCTCCAACACCATATCTCAAAAACATCAATTCTTCAGTACTCAGCTTTCTTTATAGTCCAACTCTCACATCCATACATGACCACTGGAAAAACCATAGCTTTGACTAGATGCACCTTTGTCAGCAAAGTGATGTCTCTGCTTTTTAACATGCTGTCTAGCTTGGTCATAACTTTCCTTCCAAGGAGAAAGCGTCTTTTAATTTCATGTCTGCAGTCACCTTCTGCAGTGATTTTGGAGCCCAAGAAAATAAAGTCTGCCACTGTTTCCCCATCTATTTGCCATGATGTGATGGGACTAGATGCCATGATCTTAGTTTTCTGAATGTTGAGCTTTAAGCCAACTTTTTCACTCTCCTCTTGCACTTTCATTGAGAGGATCTTTAGCTCTTCTTCACTTTCTGCCATAAGAGTGGTGTCATCTGCATATCTGAGGTTACTGATATTTCTCCAGGCAATCTTGATTCCAGCTTGTGCTTCATCCAGCCCAGCATTTCACATGATGTACTCTGCATATAAGTTAAATAAGCAGAGTGACAATATACAGCCTTGATGTACACATTTCCCGATTTGGAACCAGTCTATTGTTCTATGTCCAGTTCTAACTGTTGCTTCCTGACCTGCATACAGAGGTCTCAGGAGGCAGGTCAGGTGGTCTGGTATTCCCATCTCTTTAAGAATTTTCCACAGTTCGTTGTGATCCACACAGTCAAAAGTTTTGGCATAGTCAATAAAGCAGAAATAGTTTTTCTGGAACTCTCTTGCTTGGGTTCTATCAATTTGCAGAAATGGCTCACAAAACTCAGGAAACTGGTTTGCTTACTTGATTACTAGTTTATTATAAAAAGTTTATAATTCAGGAATAGTCAGGTGAAAGAGACGCTTAGGGCAGCTATGGGGAAGAGCATGAGGCGCCCATGCCTTCTTCAGGAAGCACTCCCCCAGGTGTTCACCAACCTGTGGCTCAACAACCCAGTCCTTTTGGATTTTTATGGAGGCTTCATGGCATAGATCTAACTGATTAAATCATTGGCCAGTGGCTATGGATTCAACCTCCAGCTCCTCATTTCCACCCCAGAAGTCAGCAAGTGGGGCTGAAAGTCCCAGCTTCATCAGGGTTGGGTCCCCTGACAACCAGCCTGCTGCTGCTAAGTCGCATCAGTTGTGTCCGACTCTGTGTGACCCCATAGACCGCAACCCACCAGGCTCCTCCGTCCCTGGGATTCTCCAGGCAAGAATACTGGAGAGGGTTGCCATTTCCTTCTCCAGGGAATCCGCCCGACCCAGGGATCGAAACCTGGTCTCCTGCATTGCAGGAGGATTCTTTACCAGACTGGGCAATAAATGTCAGTGGTTTAAGCTGTGCATCCTGTGGTACCTTGTTAAGCATCCCAGGCCATCTAATATGCCTGGTGATGCCCTGGCTTCAGAAAACAGCTGCTCTGCCCAAACAGCATGCCCTAGGTGTAGTTGAAGGCCCACTTGCCCACCTCCAATAGTGTTCACTTGAGGGGTCACCCAGTTGACAGCTCCTCTGGGGGTGGCGGGGAGGGCTCAGCTGAACTCGCTCCATGAGGCAGCATCTCTGGGCCAGCCCGGCGCCCTCACTTCCTTAGAGCTCCCAGGGCAGACAGCTCTGCAGACAGTCTTCTCCCAGGACACAGTCTATGTCCCGGGAACCCACCCGCTCAGAGCTGTAAAACCATAAGTCTATCATTACGGGCATTGGTCCCCACAGGGAGCTGACTGTATTGGACTTCTGTAAATGCAATGCCCTGGAGCGAAATGGCAGGATAATGGGTCTGAACTCACGGAGGATGAATTCCAAGGCTGCTGGACGCCTGCCCGAGTCCGAATCCTGAGGCTTTGCCTGTGATTGATGCCCTAAGGACAGTGGCGAATCAGCAGCTCTGATGCCAGAGCTGGGGTGTTTCTGGGGGCTGACTGATAGGGAGGAGAGTGCCCCGGTGCTAGGGGCACCCAGACAGAGCTTCACGTTGTCAAAGGTTCTGTCAGGGAAGCATCCCGCCCTGTCTTTAACCTAACCCCAGGACGCAGCTGGAACAATACTGACTGCCTCGGGGCCCCAGGGGATCTGGGAGGGAGGGTGGGGTCCCCTTGGAGCCCCGGCATGATCACCTCTAATCCTGGGGCTTCAGCAACGGGGCGCTTAGAGCTTAGCCCCCTCCAGCCCTTCCTTTCCAGTACCCAGCTCAGCACCTGCCCTTGGAGAGGAACAGGTCCTTGTTCTTCGGGCTCACAAGCAGAGGAACTGCTCGGGGTCTCGGGAAGGGCGTTGGGACCCAGAAAGATGCAGGAGGGCCTGGCAGACGGCAGCTGACTTGGACTCAAACCCAGGGGCAGCCTGCTCATCCTCTGCTTTCCACACTGGAGCCCCTCCTGGTCCCCAATGCAGAAAAAGGAAACCCTGTATAAAGAGGTTGCTGTGAAAAGATGGTCCTCTTCATGATAAAGACGGTTTTCTCGGGGTGGTCACATTTCAAATGATTTTACCTTTGTAAGCAATGTTTCTTAAAGGCAATGCTCAATACTTGTGTAATAAGCTTTGATCAATTATATACCCAAGGAGATCCAACCGGTTCATCCTAAAGGAAATCAGTCCTGAATATTCATTGGAAGGACTGATGCTGAAGCTGAAACTCCAATACTTTGGTCCCCTGATGCAAAGAACTGACTCATTGGAAAAGACCCTGATTCTGGGAAAGACTGAGGGGCAGGAGGAGAAGGGGACGACAGAGGATGAGATGGCTGGATGGCATCACTGACTCAATGGACATGAGTTTGAGCAAGCTCTGGGAGTGGCTGATGGACAGGGAAGCCTGGCAGGCTGCAGTCCATGGGCTCACAAAGAGTAGGACACAACTGAACGACTGAACTGAACTGAATTATATACCCAGAAAAGCCAAGGAAAGCTACTTTAATAGCGGAGAGAAGAAGGTAATTAGGAAGCGACAAAGCTACTCCAGATGCTGCATGAGACATGCGTGTCCCCATGCTCTGCCCCCTGGGTAGGCGAGTTTCTCCTCCAAAGCCCACTTCACTCTGTTGGCAAGGAGGATGTCAGACTTTAGGGGGGCCAGGATGAGGGTGCTGATCCTGTGCTGCAGGGGAGCAGGCACTGCAGGAAGTGATTCCAGGAAGGAGGGATGTTCAGTGAGGGGTGGGGGCAGAGCCGCTGACTCTATGCACCACCTGTGATTTGAGAGCAGAGCCCAGCCCTCCCTGAGCACAGTTACACGCACTGTGCACTGCACAACTCCAGGGGGCCAGGTGAGCAAGCGGCATCTGCTGCCCAGCACCAGGTATAAAGCACTTCTGCTCACTGCATCGTGGCATCGGAGTCACCAAGGAAAAGCGCACAGCCAAGCCTGGGATGGGAGAACACTCTGCTCCCATGGAGATGAGACAGAGAAAGGCCAGCTCCTGCAGTAAGGACTGGTCCCCAGGCCACTGGGTCCCTCATGCAGCCAATGCAGGATGGAGGAATGAACGCCTGAGTCTGCCTGTCCCAGTTCAGCTCAGTTCAGTCGCTCAGTCGTGTCTGACTCTTTGCGCCCCTATGGACTGCAGCACACCAGGCCTCCCTGTCCATCACCAACTCCTGGAGTTTACCCAAACTCATGTCCATTGAGTCAGTGATGCCATCCAACCATCTCATCCTCTGTCTCCCCGTCTCCTCTTGCCTTCAATCTTTCCTGGCATCAGGGTCTTTTCCAATGAGTCAGCTCTTCACACCAGGTGGCCAAAGTATTGGCGTTTCAGTTTCAACATTAGTCCTTCCAATGAATATTCAAGACTGATTTCCTTTTGAATGGACTGGATGGATTTCCTTGCAGTCCAAGGGACTCTCAAGAGTCTTCTCCAACACCACAGTTCAAAAGCATCAATTCTTTGGTGCTCAGCTTTCTTTCTGGTCCAATTCTCATATCCATACATGATCACTAACTGTCCCAGCTGGGATGCTATTCACGTGTCTCAGCGCACCCTGCCCACACTGCCCAGGACTGTGCACGCGATGGCCTTGCGGGTGCATCATGTGGGCCCTGGGCCTGGGGGCCTGGCCGGTGCGGTGCTGCTGGCGGGCAGGGAGGCAGGATTCTAGGCCCCTCATCGCTGCCTGCACAGAGCTGCTCTCAGTCCTGTTCAAGGCGAGGCAGGTGCACTCACAACCAGGCCTGCAAGCTGCAGGAAGAGGACGAACACTGCTCAGGGCCTGGGCTGCCTGAAAAGAAGTGGCCGGAATCAAAGTGATCCCGGTTTCTAGTGTCGGTGAGGCTCACCTCCTAGCCGAGAGAGCAGACAGCAACTCTTGAGAGGCACAGAAATGAGCAGCACCCGCTGGGTCACTGTGGGCGCTGCCTCGCGTGCTCTCTCTCTTTTTTGTTTTAAATTGGAGGATAATTGCTTCAAGCCTGCCTTGGTGGCTCAGACAGTAAAGAATCTGTCTGCAAAGCAGGAGACCTGGGTTTGATCCCTGGGTGGGGAAGATCCCCTGGAGGAGGACATGGCAACCCACTCCAGTATTCTGGCCTGGAGAACCCCCATGGACAGAGGAGCCTGGCAGCCTACAGTCCATGGGATCGCAAAGAGTCAGACATGACTGAGGACTGACACACACACATTATTGTTTTGCTATGCTAGTTTCTGCTCTACAACAAGGTGAATCAGTTGTGTGTGTGCATATCCCCCCTCCTTCTTGAGCCTCCCTCCGACCCCCCTCCCTACCCTAGCCCTCCAGGTCATCACAGCCCTGAGCTGAGCTCCTTATACCCTATAGCAGCTTCGCATCTCTAAGGACAAGTGAGCCTGGCTCCGGTGGGAGGAGTGTCATCTCTAAGGACAAGTTAGCTTGGCTCTGATGGGGGTGGGCAGCATCTCTAAGGACCAGTGAGCCTGGCTCCAGTGGGAGGGGGCGTCTCTAAGTACCAGTGAGTCTGGCTCTGGGAGGTGGGCATCTCTAAGGACCAGTGAGCCTGGTTCTGGTTAGAAGGGGGTCGTCTCTAAGGACCAGTGAGCCTGGCTCTGGCCCATGTGCAGGCAGCTGTCTTGCTGCCTCTTTTTCCATCGTCTCGGGCACAGCACAGCCCCACTGTCTGTAAACCACTCCTGGTGCACAGAAGAAAGCAGTACCCAAGCAAGGAACACGTCAGCTCTGACACCAAGGAGACAGATGATAAATGGAAATGATGACTCTCTGATGCCAGTGCAAAATCAGGTGGGAGGCATCATTTATCAAATTTCCATCACAGCCTCCAATGGAAAGACCTTGGAGGTTTTCAGTTGTCAGATGGTGAAATGGAAACCTTAACCAAGGGTGTAGATAAAAATCCAGCATGAGATGTGAATACAGGAACCCACGCTTAGGAAAGGATCAGGCCAGCTTGTCCTAGCCACGTGCCATTCCTTTGTGGTGCTACGTAAACCATTGATCATGTTTGCTGGTACATGCTGACATGTCATTTAGCACAGCACAACCTGGCTACTAAGAAGTGCAATTCAATGTAAGCTTAAAGGATGATCCTTGCCTCCACAGTGCTTCTATTTCCATGGCAGCTCTAATCCAAAGCAAGATTCCAGAACCTCTGGTGATTTCAGAGGTGTTGCTCATGCCTGGTGACCCACCCCCGTTGTGGGACTCCAGCCCGGTCTCCATCAGCACCTGTCAACAGGCTTTAGTGTTTAGTGATGATGCACTTGGCCTGCCTGATGTATGTGGGGCAGGGGGACAGCGATGTCCTGTGATGCAATTTTCCCAGCGGGGTCCCCTTCTCGAGCTGTCTCCATCACGCCCTGTCCTGGCTGGACCACACGCTTGTTGATGATATCCCCTCCCCAGGTCAGGACGCTTGGCTTTTGGTTGGCTTTTAATCTGCATCTGAGACACAAAGGCACATCTCTTGGTTGTGCCTCGATTCCAATCTCAGGGAAGAACCAGCGTCTGATAAAACCATGGAATGTTAAACCGGAAGTCGTCTCACTGTACAATTGGATAAACAAGATCCAGGGGGCTGTGTGACCAATTTAAGGTGGCTGAGAGCTTGTGGGCTGGAGTGCAGGTCTCTGGACATTCAACACTGGGCTCATTCCACAGCTGGTCAATGTTCCTGTTCCTGAACACCTGGAGACCTCACACTGCATACCTCTTCGTCATCCTACACTGAACAACCTGGCTCAGTGGAGCAGTGAGCCCCCAACAGACTTTAAACCCTCTGTGTACAACCACTCTATGCGGAGGACACCACCCTAACAGCGGAAAGTGAAGAGGAACTAGAGAGCCTCTTGATGAAAGTGAAGGAGGAGAGCGAAAAAGCTGGCTTAAACTCAACATTCAAAAAACTAAGGTCATAGCATCCAGTCCCATCACTTCATGGCAAGTAGGTGGGGACAAAGTGGAAGTAGTGACAGATTGCATTTTCTTGGTTCCAAAATCACCACAAAGGTGACTGCAGCCATGAAATTAAAAGACACTTGCTCCTTGGAAGAGAAGCTATGAATAATCTAGACAGCATAATAAAAAGCAGAGGCATCACTTGGCTAACAAAGGTCTGTGTAGTCAAAGCTATGGTTTCTGCAGTAGTCATACAAAGATGTGAGGTTTGGGCAATAAAAAAGGCTTTCAAATTATGGGACTCTTGAGAGTCCCTTGGACTGCAAGGAGATCTAGCCAGTCAATCCTAAAGGAAATCAATCCTGAATATTCATTAGAAGGACTGATGCTGAAGCTGAAGCTCCAGTACTTTGGCCACCTGCTGAGAAAAGTCAACTCATTGGAAATGACCCTGATGCTGAGAAAGATTGAGGGTAGGTGAGAAGGGGGCGACAGGGGATGAGATGGCTGGATGGCATCACTGACATGGACATGAGTTTGAGCAAGCTCCGGGAGATGGCGAAGGACAAGGAAGCCTGGCATGCTGCAGTCCATGGAGTCATGAAGAGTCAAATGATGACTGAGCAACTGAACAACAATAACAGCTATTCTGGAAATCTTATGTAATGCCTTTCTCAGACATTTAAAAGAGAAGACAAGCTTTTTGTAGGATACATGTGCATGGCTTTGGCTGGAACTCTGAGCTCTGAAGTATATTAAACCTCGATAACATCACTGTGAAAATGAATACACTGTGTTTGCACCCATGCTTTCGGCCACGTGTGTCCAGCCTGGTATTCCCATCCGTTTTCTCTTGTTCAGCTCAGCAGTTTGTCTAAAGGAAGAGGACCTCTCAGTGGTTCTCCTAAGATGGAGAAGAAATCTTTGCTGTATGTCTGAAGCCAGGACTCAGGTGTGAGTTGCCCAGGCACAGCAGGTGACCCAGGTCAATCCATCTAGAAAATGCAGGAGAACAGACAGCCTCAAGGAGCATGTATTATCTGCAGGGAATCTTACTTTGCTAAATAAATTGAATTTTTTTTTTAAAGTCACTGAGCATCTACTAGGGAATGCCTCTCATCTTCATGTTGGAAAACCAAACTTGGGTCCACTTTCCTGAGAGCTGTAAAGCCAATCTGTGGACACAGGGCTTTGGTGAAGGAAAGTGCAGGGTTAACTGCAGGTGCGAAGCAAGGAGTCCAGGCAGCTAGTGCTCAGAAGACACAAACTCCTTGGCGACTTTCGGAAAAGGTTTTTAAAGACAGGAAGAAGGGTTGTGGGGTGCAGATCAGCTTGTGGACATTCTTCTTGATTGGTTGGTGGTGAGGTAATCAGGAGCTGGGCTTCCCTGATAGCTCAGTTGATAAAGAATCCACCTGCAGACTTGTGGACTCTGGGAGAAGGCGAGGGTGGGATGTTTCAAGAGAACAGCATCGAAACACGTATATTATCTAGGGTGAAACAGATCACCAGCCCAGGTTGGGTGCATGAGACAAGTGCTCGGGCCTGGTGCACTGGGAAGACCCAGAGGGATCGGGTGGAGAGGGAGGTGGGAGTGGGGACCGGGATGGGGAATACATGTAAATCCATGGCTAATTCATCTCAATGTATGACAAAAACCACTGCAATGATGTAAAGTAATTAGCCTCCAACTAATAATATAAATGAAAAAAAAAAAGAATCCACCTGCAATGCAGGAGACCCTGGTTCAATTCCCGGGTCAGGAAGATCCCCTGGAGAAGGGATAGGCTACCCACTCCAGTACGCTTAGGCTTCAGTGGCGGCTCAATCGGTAAAGAATCTTCCTGAAATGCAGGAGACCTGGGTTCAATCCCTGGGTCCGGAGATTCTCTGGAGGTGGACCTGGCAACCCACTCCAGTATTCTTGCCTGGAGAATCCCCATGGACAGAGGAGACTGGCGGGCTGTAGTCCATGGGGTCGCAAAGAGGCAGACACGACTGAGCGACTCAGCGTACAGTCAGGAGTCAGCATCATCACCCCACTGGTTCCAACTGGTCTGGCGTCTCCAGGATTGTGAGCAGCACACAGTTAGCTTCTCCCATCTGGTGGGGGCCTCAGTATCGGCAAAACAGCTCCAAGGACATGGCTCAGAATATCATCTACAGTCCTTGAGAAGGAGCTAAAGGTACCTGACTTTATTTAGTGATGAAATTATTATTATTATTATTTTGTTTTGCTTGACTGTTTTCCCTTATTTCTGTATTTTCTCACTTATCTGATTAAACGTATTTTCTGAAAAGCGGGAAAGGTCTGGAGGCTCACGTTTTCCTACAGACAAGAGGCAGGTGAAGGACTCAGGGGCAGGGGCCCTGCCCAGTTTCACTCTTCGGGCCCTCCCTGACCTCTGCTCCCACCGTGACCTGGACCAGGAGTGTCTGTGCGTGCTTCCCCCAGCCCTCAGGAATGAGACGGCGTCTTGCCATAACTGAGGATGCCGACTGCCTACAGCCTCCGAGACTTCGGCACAGACAGGAGCTGGGAGAACGGGCTGGCTCAGCGGCCGCTGGAGCATTCCAGGAGCAGCCCAGGGCTACCCCCCGGCTTGCGTCCCCAGCATCCTCCACGCGGCAGCCAGCCTGGTCCCGCGGAAGCATGGCCTCTCCAGAAGCGTTTTGTGAAAAGGAGCGCTCAGAGAGCTTTTGTTTTTTAAAGCATTCCACCGGCTTTAAAGCATTCTACCCTTCCCTCTCACCATTTAGTTCCCTAAAGATGGTGCTTCTGAGTAGGTTTAATTGTTTTTTTTACCCTTAGCTACCCAGACTTTAATGAAATCATCAAATCAAACTGTGCCTTTTGCATCTTAACTATGAGTGTCATACATAAGAGAGCCATGATTTATTCTTTTGTTGATCAGATATGTACACGTTCCTGTAACAGCCTGTGCATTTTACATTAAGCAATGATTTGGTCTTGTCTGGGCTGAATCACATTGTACCATTTACCCAATGATATTTCCTTCTATTTATTAAAAATCCATTTGTCCATGTCTGGAAATTGTCTAGGTAACTTGACAAATGTGTTTATCCAATTTATAAAGGCCCCTTGTAATATCTTGCTTATGTGCACAAAGAGAAGACTCTTGGTTTCTCCTTCTCCAGCCCTGTTTTTGTCACCGTTTGCTGTATCATGTTTTGGCAATTTAGAATCACCACCGGAAATGGTCCCGTCACGGGCATCAGTCATATACCCTTTCCAGTGCTTCTCCTCCAAGAAGAATGACCCCAAAAGTTTCCTTGCAGAATTTTGCCCCAGGAATCTTCCACCCTGAGTAAACATTCCAGATCTAGAACAAACTATCCTTTCCCCCCCAAAAAACATAAACACACACACACACACACACACACACATATATAGTACAGCATCATTTCTCAGTATTCTCAAGAAAGAAGGATGGAATTTACTCATTGTATGAATTATCCTTTTTTAAAGTACTTTTAACCTACTAACTAACTAAGAAGGAGAAGAAGCCCACAGAGAATAAGATGGTTGGATGGCATCACCAATTCAATGGACATGAAGTTGGGCAAACCCTGGGAGATGGTGAGGGGCAGGGAGGCCTGACGTGCCACGGTCCATGGGATCGCAAAGAGTCGGACACAACTTGGCAACTGAACACACAACACACACACAACTGAAAGCTCATTGAATAAAAACTCCAAACACAACAAAGGTGTTAGTTTTCGAAATGATTTCTTGAAATTGCCTTTCTGGGGAATAAATTTCAAGCTATTTTTAAGTAATCTTTTCTAACTCAAACATAATTTCTTAGGTTAATGCAATTAATTCCTACACCAAAAGCTAAATATTTTGAATAAATAATAACTGGCCTATGATTCTGAAAAACAAAAAAAGGAGAACAAATGAGGACTGCTACATTTTGGTCTACACTTGGAAGGCAGCCAGCATTTATTCATTCTCATTCATGGTTTTTATTCATTGGATCTTTTGATCTAAGCCACACGCAAACACATACTTCTAAACTAGATGCTACCAGAACGTTTGTTTTGCACTTAGAGTGTCTTTGTTTTTGTTTTTAGTGAAGCGTGTGGAGGCTCAGTTATGTTTAAAGAGCACGAGGGCTGTTGTTCTCCACTTGCTAAGTTGCGTCTGACTCTTTGCGACCCCACGGACGACAGCGTGCCAGGCTTTCCTGCCCTCCACTATCTCCCGGAGTTTATTCAAACTCATGTCCTTGGAGTCGGCGATGCCATCCAACCATCTCATCCTCTATCACCCTCTTCTCCTTTCTTCTTCTCCTTCTCCCTGAGGGCTGTTACGTTAATATTAGCGTTACTTCTCAGTGACTGAATCTCAGATTTTAAATGGTAAAGAATCTGCCTGCCAATGCAGGAGATGCTGGAGACGTGGGTTTGATCCCTGAGTCAGGGAAGATCCCCTGGAGGAGGAAATGGCAACCCACTCCAGTATTCTTGCCTGTGAAATCCCATGGACCGTGGAGCCAGATGGGCTACAGCCCATGAGGTCACACAGAGTCCAATGTGACCAAGCGCCCATGCACACCCGCATAAGCCGCAGAGCCAGGGTGGGCTCACACCCAGCAGTGCTGTGCTGTGCTTGGTGTCCTGGGTGACTGCCCGAGGGGCTGCCTGCGCCATCTGCACAGGGTCTTCCGGGCGCAGCTTTGGCCCCTGCAGCTTGTTTGGAACTCTGCTCGTTCATTTCTGAAAGCACAGGTGCCTTAGATTAAGACTGGCCACAACACTGGTCAGTGGAGCCCAATCTCACAGCACAAGTGCTACAGATATTTCCAAGGTCCTGGGGGCATCTGCGTCCCATCCCCGCACCGTGACTGTTTCTGGACACCATGGTAAGGATGCTCCTGTGAACTTCCTACCTGGTAGGTGCCTCGCTAAGACCCTCATGGCACGAAATGGGTATGTTTCAACCTGGTCCACCAGTGAGAGGGGTGCCCATGTCACTCCCATCCTCACTGCCCGTCTCAGGGGAAGCGACAGGAACCAGGTGGAATCAATGTGTACTGGCAAATGAATGGATTAATGAATGGACTAAGGGTGCTGTCTGGAAAACAGTGCAATTTTCTCAGCCTTTAAATTGGTTTTCTAGAAACTCACTTAAGAGCCCAAACAATCTCACTCCCCAAATTTTAATCAGATGTTATGTCTGATGTTGGGATTTTTTTTACTTTTAAAGTCATTCAGACGTGTCCAACTCTTTGCGACCCCATGGACTATACAATCCATGAAATTCTCCAGGCCAGAATACTGGAGTGGGTAGCCTTTCCCTTCTCCAGGGGATCTTTCCAAAATAGGGATCGAACCCATGTCTCCTGCATTGCAGGCAGATTCTTTACCAGCTGAGCCACCAGGAAAGCCCAAGAATACTGGAGTGGGTAGCCTTTCCCTTCTCCAGGGGATCTTCCCAACCCAGGAATCAAACAAGGACCTCATGCATTGCAGGCAGACTCTTTACCAGCTGAACTATCGGGGAACCCTTGATGCTGGAAACAAGGACACCTGTTGGGGAGATCCCACCGCTGTGATGGTACCTCTGCACCCCTCTTGCTCACCGCAGAACCCTCCTCTGCCCGCCCTGTGACCCGCTCTGTGCCGGGTACTCAGGTCCTCAGCTGTATCATCAAGCCTGCCTCGGCCTCTGGCTTGAGATGAGGTTCAGCCACGGAGTCACTGGCAGATCTGGGACTCAGCAGAGAGAAACACTGAGGTCTGTGCTCTCGGTTCTCCCCTGCCTCCCTCCTGTCGCCCCAGCCACCCACACGGAGTGATGGTTGAGGACGGCACCCTCCTCCCTGAGGGCCTCCACGCACTTGCTGGCTGTCTGCACCCTAGAGGACACTGCACCTCTAGAGCCTGTTCACCCAGGGACCCTGCTGGGCTCAGATCCCTCCCTCTCACCTGACATCCAAAGGAACTCAGGATTTAAAGTGGAAACTTTGGACCATATGAGCACTAACCTAGAATGTGAGTGTTTGGGGACCTTAGGCATCAAAACGTCCCTCTGCCAATCATAAAGGGAAACAAGATAGCTGTGTCTAAGAAAAGTTAACTTCTATACTCTAAAACTACCACATATGATAGATATATTAATAGCAAACACCATCCCAGATGGCGCTCATGGTAAAGAATCTGCCTGTCCCTGCAGGAGATGCAAGAGACTCAGGTTTGATCAGTGGGTCCGGAAGATGCCATGGAGGAAGGAATGGCAACCCACTCCAGTTTTCTTGTCTGGTGAACCCCCTGGACAGAGGAGCCTAGTGGGCTACAGTCCATGGGGTTGCAGAGAGTCGGACATAACTCAGCAACTGAGCACACGTCACGTATTTACCCCAAATCTAAATCTCATCCCTCCCTACTCTTGATTTTGAGCAGAACCTGGTCTTGTTCAGGGATGCATTTAGCCAGGTGTTTCTGAAGAGGTGACTGGTCTCAGACCCGGTGCATTTATACCCACCACCCAGATCTGTGGCCCTGACCGGTGCCTTGTTTTGAGATGACTGTGCACCTGGCCAATGAGAAACCTTTGAGAAGTCACCCCTCTCCTCATCCTCAATGTTAGGTTTCTCTCTGTCCTTTCGCTTGAAATGATGGCTATTCATTCTTCCATCACTCATTCGCTGGCTGATCCCATCTGTACATACATTCAACACTATCAGCTTTAGTATATACCTCCAACACAGTATTTATTTAAAATAATTTGAGAGCAGACTTGAGTTGAGACAAAGGCCTCCTCTGTCGATGGAGATCAATCCTTTAAAAAGAAAACAGCCTGAAACATCAGGAGAGCCCCAGCATCGCTCTTGACTGTGGTCAGCTGGGTCAGGGGCCGCTCAGTATTACTTACCGAGATCAAAATACAAAGAAAGAAGAAAAAGAACACTAAGAGACGCCCAGATGCTGGGACCCTCCACGATGTCTGTTTAGTATGATAAGGAAAAAAGGACCCGAAGAGAGACATGTTCTATTATTTATCAGCATCCCTCAGGCAGCCGAATCAAAGCTCCATCTTCCTCTAAGAAAGAGCGGAAGCATCAGCAGCTAACTTCCTGACCCACAGAAGCGGATGTGGCTACTTGACGTCGAAAAGGGCTCACCTGTGGTCAGCACGGAGCCCTTGGGAATACCGTGTTCCTTCACATCGGCGAAAAGGCGCAATTCCTCCTCTATCCGAGGACCCCCACAATGGAAACACACAAAGAAAAGCCAAATTCAGAGTTCCCTGGTGAGGTCAATGAACTGGCCCAGGACGAGGATGAAACCTGTCAACCATACACATGGTTCTGCAGGAAGACTCCGGCTCCTCGGTTCTTCTCCTTGGATCGGAGTTCCAAAGCTCCTTGCCACGCTCTGCATCCTCTCCTCTCCAGGTTCCCTTCTGAGGACAAAGCCCCTCGACCTCTCTCTCCTCACTAGCTCCCCTTCTTTCAGGACACTGCCCATGGTCACCAGGAGCGTTAGCCCCTCCCGGTTTTATCCAAAGTTCTGTTTTCAGTCCTGGCAACTCGAATATCTGTTGCGTGACAGCAGGACAGATGGTTAAGAAGTGTGTATACTTAGAAGATGATTTTTAAAAGCCATAAATAACCAATAGGTACATT